ATATATATATATACATATCTGGGCCCAAGTCAAAATCCATCAAGTAATGGGCCCAAATCAACCCAATTTCGGACCTTGTGGACCAAATATGACTAGTATTTGGTGTATATATGTATCAACTTCTTTCTTTGACCTTGTACTCTGATGATGATGATATGTTTAATTAATTATCAATCATGATAATTATTTATCAAGAATGGGCGAAGGATAAGTGCAAGAAATCTTTAAAAGCATGATGGGATTTTGAGGGACTCACCAAGTCACATTGAGTCAATCATTCGCATTTTATATGGAAATAGTGCACTCGAAAGGATCTAAAACCTAATTATGGTGGGAATAGTGAACTATATCTCACAACTAAAATGGATGTGATAAGAACGAAAGATTCAATGCATCAACTATTTGCCTCCTCCACTCAAAGAGAATAATACACCCAAACAATCCAAGCTGCAAAGGGTCATGTAAATCATCTTGCAACAACAGCTAATATGTCTCCTTTATACAAGTTCATGTCGCATGCATTATACTCAATCCGAAATCATATGATACATGAGAATAAGGTTCACTTAGGTCCTCCCTAAACCAAATTGTACCAACATATGCTTTAGTGGTAACACTCATTGGCTAAAGCATACAAGTCTTAGAGATGATATTGGCTATTCTTCTCATGAATATTTTTATTACAAATGGTAAGTAGGTCGAATACACCATCATCGTATTAGTCGAGTCAAGCATTATAATTTTTATGATAATAATTTAAACTCTCAATCTAAGGTAAGTTAATGGCATATCACTTTAGAGTAGTCGATTGGGTATATATATTTTTTTAAACGATAATTCGAACCCTTAATCTAAGGTAACTAAATCAAATATTATCACCAAACTAGTAGATCAAGTATTTAAAATGTTTAGAAAAATGATTCAAACACTCAATATTTTAATCGGATATATCACTACTAAACTAATTAGTAGAAGTATAATTTTTAAGATGATGATTTAGGCTCTCAGCTTAAGATAAGTAACACAAATAAACTATCACCAAACTAGTTACTTAGTATATGTTATCATATGATAATCTATGTTACGCCATGCTACTTGTAACCCCGTCGAACTTACATTAGAGGATCACTAGACCTTATATCACTTTTTGATTATATATTATATTATTATCTCTATTGAGATAATCTGAATTAGTTAATGTATTGTTGCACAAGTAATAGATCTAAGTTCATGTTCACCTACGAGCGTCACGTACACTATTTAATATAATAATTTTGACATTGTTCAAATTCTATATGTAGAAAAAAAATCATGAATATGAAAAAAAAAAAAATAAGCTCTAGTTTTGCAACTCTTGAGAAAAGAAAGTGAGCTTACATTTGCATATTCTTGTGAAAATAAAAGAGAAATCGATATAAACGATCTCATATCACTCCATCTTATTCTCATGACCTTTACTATAAATCAAACATAAGGGAAGAGAACACTTAATCTTTAAGCTCGAAAACAATGATTGAAAGATTATATCCGAGTTTAGAAAAGAAAAACGATGAATTATCCCTATGCCTACAAAAGAGAGTGAAAAAGATTTAATAGTAGTCCATGAAAAATAATAAGTTGAATATGATTTTGTTTTCATCAACTCTCTCTCTCTCTCTCTCTCTCTTTATTTTTTTTTTATATTTCCTATATAAATAAGATATATATTTTTTAAGGTGTAATTTGGGTGGATAAACTTTGACCATATTAATCGATATGAGTATCCTCGATATATAACATCGATGGCATTGAGTCATCAAAATTAAAACTTTGAGAAAAATAATAAATAAATAACAATAAGAAAATATTCACTCTCAATCATGTCGACACATGATTGTCATACAAATAGGTGAAACATCGGAATCATCACTCCAACCACGATAAAAAAAAAATATATTATCCAAATATTTTTTACTTACAAGATATTAAATCTTTACTCGAAGTGATTATGGATGCTCCCCATATAAAAAGGCACATCGATGCCATCCATACTCGATGATAGATTATTTCTCTCATTACTATACTCTAATAAATCATATCGGGACTCTCTCTTATCATAGGTCTTCGTGCAAGGAGGGGATGTGGAGCTCACACCATCTCCAAAACTATGTTTCCAATATCTCTCTCTCTCTCTCTCTCATTATCTTAGGCGAACCTATCACATCTAAAGTAATAATCAAACATTGGATCTTAGACTCCAACAACTAATCGATCGGGAGCATCCTCCAAACATGTATCTTCGTGCAAGAAACGAACACCGAGAGCTCGAACGTCTCCAATTCGTCTTCGAAACACCCATCACATCTGAAACAATAATCGAACTTGGGGATCAAATCTCATCAAATAGAAACATCAGAATCAGGCATTTCACCTTTGTCACACAAGCTGAAACCTTATCTGCTGATTTCTTTAAGGCATCTCGCTCCAAGGAATCCATTAAAGAAGGAAAACGTACCGTCATGGGCGCACTGTCCGCCCCACATGGGGGGAGGGAGCTTCCCACCGCCCCCACCCAAAACCGCCCTCGAATCCTTCCGACCTCTTCTTCCTCCTCCTCCTCCTCGTCACCGGCTGTGCCCCGACACCTGAAACCTTCGTCGCCCACAGAACCTCACGTCGCCTTATTATTATTATTATTATTATTCTTCCTTCACCAAACTCGTTCTTTACACTCTTGAGTTGTAAACTACTGCGAGTTCTCCACGAGGTTGTCTCTCCGTAGCAGCAGCACGACATGACGATGATTGACACTTGGCTTAGCACTCAAAGGTTATCTCGATGTGTTCCGAAAGCCACACATGGGAATCTGCACCCCTTTGCTTACTTACAAAGCACTACGATGCAACGAAAAGAATAGTTACGATGATGTTGGCTTGTGACCATTCTGCTTGAAGTACGGATTCCTCGGCCTCAATCTTTATTGGCCTCACAGTACTGACACCCAGAACTCAGTGCAGGGATGCCATCTGAGTGCCATCGATCGGAGATAGTGCTTTCAAAAGTGCATGCAAAGAGCTAGCTAGGGTTTTGACACGTACCTTATGGTCTCGAGTGAACTTGGACTCGAATCCATTATGGTCTAAAGCTTGCTGCTTGTGTTTGGGACAATGTTCATGGTCAGGTGTTTCTTCATGTATAGCTCTTCCATCTTCCTGCTTATTCTGAGCACATATTTTGATGAATATTGATGAATATTTTCTTGAGCCTAAAAAGCTCTAATTTTTTTTTTTTGGGGATTCTCTATTTTCAGAATTTTCGAATAAGTTTTCTAAATATCTAAAAAAACATAAATATATATTTTATGGACCGATCCATCCGTCATATTAATTTTTTATACTATGTTATAGTGTTTTCAATAATATCGGAAATACATTGCGACACAATAAACAACAACATTATAACATACTATTTATTTTTTTTATAAATTTTGTAAAAATATTATGTTTATAGTGTTTTTATAAGAAAACATATTAATAAATATTTTTAATAATATTAAAAACATATTATAACGTAATAAATATTTTTATATTATATTATGTATTTTTAGCATCATTAAAAAAATACTATAATGTGATGTAAAAAATATTATAACTAATGTAGAAAAAAAAAAAAAGATAGATGAGTGGGGTGTTTTAAGCATTAGGTAAAAAAAAAATATATTAAAGAGTTTTAAAAATGAGTGACACTTTTGTTAAAAAAAAAAGAAATTAAAACATGTAGTTATTAGTTCACATGAAACAATTGACTATTGTTGACATATATTCTTTCATTACTATTCATTTTGTTTTCATGCGTTCATAATTGCCGTAAACGACAAGTGATTCAACAAAGAAAGCGGAGGTTAATATAAAGAAAGAAGCAGGAAGACAAACACGAGGGCGACGTGCTGCCTCCCCTGCGCACCACGAGACATATATAATATGACGATCAAAGGAATCAGTCAAGTTAAAGAACGGTTTAGTTTGCAGTACCAAAAGCTGCCTCGCCACCTCCCTCCCCTTCTACTCTTTGCATCACATAAAGAATAGGAGATCCCGGAAGTGCCGATCTAAAAGGCAACAGTAGCAGCAGCAGCAGCAGCAGCACCGCCACCCTCCACCATAAAGGTAAGATCAACGGGAAGCTCATCACTTGATCGATACAACCATCCATGTCTTCTTCTTCTTCTTGTCGTAGCCATGTTGTTCTCTTTTCTTTGATGGTTTTCTGGGTTTGACCGCAAGATCTGGTATCTTGAGCTCAGGAGGAGTATGGGGAGGGGAAAGATCGCGATCCGCAGGATCGATAACTCCACTAGCCGGCAGGTGACCTTCTCGAAGAGGAGGAAGGGTTTACTCAAGAAGGCCAAAGAGCTCGCCATCCTTTGTGATGCGGAGGTCGGCGTTGTTGTCTTCTCCGCCACCGGCCGAGTCTATGATTACGCCAGCACCAGGTTCTCTCTCTCTCTC